CGACGCCGGGGATGCCTCACCAGACTCCCTGGTCCGCCGACAGACCCTACTGTCACCGACACGTCGGCCCGCCACCCCCGCCCCGACCCCGCACTCACCATATCTCCACTCACGGGGCAGCACCTCGCGGCTCCCGCCAGGGCACGGCGAACCTGCACACTGCCGGGCTGCTACCCAAGCCGTTGCAAACGCGCCCTCCGCTACTTCCGCTTCCAGTGGCGCCTCCCGGGCACCGTACTGCCATTGCGCAGGCGCCTCGGTCGGCTCCGCAGCAGGCGGGGCCCAAGTGATCCGCCCAAAGTCCTGCATAGCCTGTGGGCGTCGCCATCTTGGCTATCGAGTCCGTAAGTCGGTCGTGCCTGCAAGTTCGCCGGGAACATGGACGTGCTAGTATCGCGGCTTTTCGTAGGCGCCGCCACCTTGTCAGTAGAATCCGTAAGGTGGCGGCTGTACGGCCTCTGCGTACAGGCAACATGGCCACACCTGTTCGCGAGCTCCTCATAGATGCCGTCATCTTGGGATCTGGTTCCGTAAGGGGGCCAAGTTCGTACTTTAGCGGGAGACACAGGGCGGCGTCCATAGCGGCTTCCTCTACGGCGTCGCCATCTTGGCGATCAATTCCGTACACTGGCATCTTGTTCTGCGGAGAGTTTCATAGGTGAAGTGGCCGCTTCGAAACACGCCCTGGATCCAGTGTTTAATGCCACATGTATTCATAGGTCGCCAGCAGAATGAGTGCGTTGCGCTCGAGGGAAACCAGCTTCACTTGTCTTCGACTTCTCCTGCCACGACTCTTCCCCTTCATTCATCTTCCTGGTCGTTGCTCAGCCAGGCCTGGCATGTTTCCGCTTTTATTTATTTTATTTATTTTTATTTATTTATTTATTTTAAATACTTTTTAAAACTAATTTCAAATTTTTAGTTTTATAAACTGCCTAACAGTATAGCACAGTTTACGTATCCGTATATTTATTGCTGAACATTTGGAACACCGCCAAACGTTTTTCTAAATAAAGTTGGGAGTTTAACAGCATTTCTGAGTTCTGTGTGTTCTTCTAGTGAATCATTGAACATGAGGGTTGGTCTTGGGACATCGGACACACTTGCTTTTTCCTCATATATTACATTTTCAAATTGAGGTCTCTCTGAAATGTTTAGAGACACTTACACGTGTGATGAACCAGTCATCTAAAAACATTTATGAGGATGGCTTGTTTGGGTTGTTTTTGGGTAGCTTTAACTCCGTCCTGCTCCCTCCCTCCCACAGCTCTCCCATCATATCCCACTTGCTCTCTCTAAGAGCACAAATAATTAAATAGGCTTACTTCTCTGTTTTGGTGGTACCTTTTTTTTACTACTTTTGATTCCCACCCAAGCCCCACAAACCTGTGGCCCAGCCCCCGAGTGGATCAGTTTCTATCTCTCATAAAGCTTATCTGTAAATAGCACATTGAATCCTATAGTCTGCAGAAAGACGCTTCCAGTCTGTGGTTTCTAGCCCCAGATCATGAGGTCCTTGATCCTGTAGAAGACAAAGCAGGTATGAAGTTTGCCATATACAAAGTGAAGCACCATTAGCCCTGTTTTCTCTTCCAAGAGTTGCCATTATAATCACCAGGACATTTCTATAATTCTGTTGATCTGCAATGGTTTCATGTATTAGCAAATTGTTTTCTCAATGAGATTATAAAATCCCTAAAAGTAAGAATCAAGCAGCTCTTGAAAGGTAAATGACAAGGAGTTAACTGAATCCACAGCTGTGTTTCCTGCAGTGCTGTGAACATCGAAGTGACTCCATTACTATCTTTGTAATTGTGAAAATGGAGGTTTTTAATGTCCTGTTGGAGCTGGTTTGAAGGAACCACAGAATAGAGGTGCTTGGGCCAAGAATTTAAGTTGCTTTTGTCTGGAACACTATGGAAGACCATCAGTATTCTGTAGACTGCAGCATTCCCTAGTCCTCCTCCACCATTGAAGTCCTCAGAGTTACCCACGCTACCCATTTCTAGGCCTGCAGGACCAACTCTGCACAGTAGCACTGCATTTCAGTTACAGTCAAATTAAGTAGAATCAGGAACGTCTCAAGAATCACTTGCAAGAACCCACGATCACAGGGCCAGTTACCACCTATTCAGGCTCTAATCTCCTGCTGCTGACCCCAGCCCTCTTTTCCATTTCATAAACTATATGTGTAGTTTATGAAATGGAAAAGAGGGGTCCACTATCCTGGGAGTGTATGCATGGTAGGGGGCTTTTGGAAAATGCTTCAAAACATATATCACGTTAAACCAGTTTGTTAATGCAAATCACCATGCTTAGTACCTGCAATTAAAACCACAAGCCCCTTCCTGTGTGACCAACCCTGGTGTAACACACCATGCTGTGCTCAGCAACTACAGCTAAAACTGCAAGCTTTTGCTGTTTTTACAAAAGGTACAAAACTTTCCACCATGGAAAGCTCCTTTCCCCAAGGCCAATGTAAAACATATAAAAGCTGAGGCCTAACTGCGATCGGGGCCCAGCCTTTGCAACTGGAGTCCACTGGGCACAAACGCCAGTGTTCCAGAAATAAATGCAGCTTTCTGCTTACCAGCCTTGGCATCCCAGTCTCTCTGATTTATTTTCCCGCAACATATCTTGGTGTGTTGGCCAGGAAAGTGGAGAGTTCAGAGACAGCAGTTTTCACCTCCCTTGTCACTGGGATACAACCCCCAGGGCGATGGGAGAGGCAATCTCACCTGTTGCCAAGGGACCAATTGATCTGTAGGGGAGAAGCCCTCTTGGTGTGCCCCGGCAAGGATTCCGAAAGCACAATGGAGTCCAGTGAGGAACAGGAACCAGCATAAGGTGCAGCCCTCGATGGAAAGGGTAAGAACTGGGGTTGCATGGAATAGATCTGTTCTTAAGAGATAGAAGGGGAGCCTGATCGACTCCCAGAGTCTGCTCGTGGTCTCAAACCTGAAGGAAAGGGTTACAGGCAGTGGAAGGAAACACTGTCCTGAGACAAAACTGTAGACTCCAAGGTACTGCGTGAAGTATTGGAGTTGTCGTATGACTGTGTATGAATGAAATGGACAGTGGAAGGGTTTCGACCAAACCAAAGGACCAAAGTGAGTGTAGAGTCCTGATCTGAGCCAATGGTGACCTCATACAGCTGAAGCCGTATGAGGGCTGGTGCAGGTTGGGGGTTTATACCAACCTGCCAATTGCTAAGAGGTGTCTGAAATATTTCCACAAGGAGTATGGCTGGAGACAGACAAAGCAACTGCCTCTCTTACCCCTTTTTTCTCTTTCTGTGTGTGACTGGCATCTTGTAGGGGGAGAAAGTTGGGTGGAACACAAAGTAAGAACACCCCCCTTGAATGTATGCTGAAAAATTTTTGCCAAGGTTACTCAGGAGACTATGGTGTGCAACTGACTTGGAGAAAGCTCTGAACAGTCTGTGAAATAGATTGGCCTTCTTTTGGGACAGGATGGCCCACAGAAGGGTCATTAGATAAAAGGATACTTGCTAAGGCATTTATAATTGTCGTAGGAGACCCAGGTCCCAGCCATCCTGATCAGTTCCCATACATTTACTGTTGGCAAGATGCAGTCCTTGCTCATCCATCTTGGCCAAAAGCTTGCGGGGAAGAAAACCACAAAATTATGATGGCGCTTAGGTCAGCTCCTCCCAACTGCCTGCCCAAACCAAACAAGTCTCTTCTGGCTAATGAAACAGAAAGGATTCCTCCACTGTACATGTCCTTATATACCCCACTGCCACCTGCACCCCTGGCTCCAACCACCACCATGGTCCCACCACAGATAATATGTATGCCAAAATCCAGTCTTTCTTCACGACCACCTGATACACCCCTGGCTATGGCCACCTAAGGGCCTCCAAACTTAACCTTGCACATATCACCCAGAAAATTGCCACAGGAGCCAATGACTGGTTTCTCCTCCAGTGAATGTCCAGGTGCCCTCCAGATGCCACTGAGAGAGACCCAGGGATCCCTCTATTACAACCCAGATGACCAAATCCAAGGTGGACAGTGCATGCTCGTATGTCAGCCATTTACCATCACTGATCTCTTGAACTGGAAACATCACACACCACCATTTACTGAAAGGCCCCAGACTATGATTGACCTGATGCAATCCATCATCCAGACCCAGAAACTAACTAGGGCTGATTGCCACCAGCTTCTCCTGACATTATTTGATACCAAGGAGCACCAGAGAATCACTCAGGGAGTCTTGAAATGGTTAAAAGAACATGCCTCAGCAGGAATGCTCAATGCACAGACACGTGCACAAAATCACTTAACCAAAGAAGACCCTCAATGGGACCCCAACAGTAACCAGAGGTTACAGATGCTCAAACGGTACCATGAAGACCTCTTCAGAGGCATGAAGGAAGGAGGGGAAAAGGTCATGAACATGAACAAAATTTCAGAAGTGCTTCAAGGATCTGATGAGAGCTCGAGTCAATTCTGTGAAAGACTCTGCGAGGCCTTCAGACTGTACACTCCCTTCAACCCAGAGATAGCTGAAAAATCAATGAATGGTGAATGCAGCCTTTATCAGACAAGCCCAAGGAGATATCCTAGGAAAACTACAAAAGTTAGAGGGCTTCACTAGTATGAACACAACCAGCCAGCTGCTGGAGATTGCAGCAAAAGTGTTCGTCAACCGAGACTGGGAAGACCAACAAGAAGTGGACTGGAGACTGAAGAAAAAGGCCGCTTTACTTGCTGCAGTCTTGTCAGGATACAAGGCACCTGCTCAAAGCGAACAAGGCTGAGGCCGAGGCCAGGGTTGGGGAAGAGGCCAACCTAACGGCCACCCAGGGATGATGCCAGGGCCATACCAGCACGCTGACAGACCACCCTACTCTAAAAAGAAACTGGGAAGAAATCAATGTGCCTATTGCTACCAAGAGGACCACTGGAAAGGAGACTGCCCCTAGCACATAGCAGATGAATACTGGTGGAAGAATGAATGTCCCCAGCCTGTTGGACCACCACCAGGAGGAAGAGGCCAGATGGTTGGGGACAACACCAATGCCCTGCAGACAACCTTATGAGTCTGGCCACCATGGAAACATGTAAGGACGACTAGGACAGACTGGGCTCCATTCTGCTGGGCCCCCAGGTAGGGGGCCAACCCAATGACTTTATGATAGACATTGGAGAGAACACTCTGTGGTAACCCAGCCCATGGGCCCCTTCTCCCAAAGGCAAGCTG